TGAAATCTCCATTCCCTCCCCACTCCAGGGGAAGGATACTGTGAAATCTCCATTCCCTCCCCACTCCAGGGGAAGGATACTGCAAAATCCCCATTTCCTCCCAATCAGCTGAGACTTGGGAGGCAGAGAATAGATGGAGAGCGTGGCCAGCCAGAGCTTGTATTTACCGGTTCTCCAAACTACTCATAATGTCCACTACTGGTTCTCCAAAACTGGTCAGAACCTGCTGAATACCACCTCTGGACTGGATAGGGGTAACTTTTACCCTTACACTTTACGCCACACAGTTATAGTCCATCTATGTAATCCTCCAATTATTTTCCATCTAAAGGAAAGCAAAGAACCTTCTGTACAGTAGTAATAAAGCCGAGAGATTAAAGCTTTGCTTCTTCTTTTAAAGGGGGCACAGAGGTAAGCAAGAATTGCTGTGTTTTTCTCATCATGTTTTGGATGAGGTACAAAGGAAGCAAATATTTGAAGTTAGAAAAGATCGTATCTGGAATAATGAGGGAGAAATTTAAACCCAAATGAATCATAAGGCTGTTCAAAAACCTTGCAAACAGTGACACTCTGGTACATCTCTTGAAGCATAATGTTAAAACTAATACTATTCCTGCAGATTAAACTAACAGAATTGTTTGGGAGAATATGAATGAGAAATTCACTTACTTGCTTCTTGTAAGCAAGTAAGATATGGCTAAAAAGGTGACCCGGCTACACAAAATCAACAATAAAGTTGGGAAGCTCACAAAAAGCCGGAAGGCAAATGTTTCATTTCAGCAGTCACCTCCAATACGTTATTTTATTGCTGTGCCTCAATGTACAGATGTTTCTTATACAAACATCCTATTTGAAGATTGTAAAACTTTTTATATAACACCCCCCCACGCACACACACACAAGCACAAATCCTTCTTACCTTCTGAATTTCAGATTGATTGTCTTGCTTGGTGAATTTCAGCCTTCCTGTAGAAGAGAAACCAACAACAACTATATTATGAAGTGAATCAAGCACAAAGATCAAGCTTTTATTGTTAATTATGTCAGTCAACATATGGATGTCCTCATTGTAATGCATTGTAAAGAAAGTCATCCTCACAACCCATCCAGAATTGCTAGATGGTTAATGGCAGAGGTGGGTTCCTACCAGTTTGCACCTATTCGGTAGAACCGGTTCGTCAAATCTACCGAACCAGTTAGAAAAGGTTCCACCAGTGGACCCGGAAAGCAGGCCACACCTACAGAAGAGGTTCCAACATTTTTTGANCTGCCAACATAGCAGTTCAAAAGCATGTAAAAATGCAAGTAGAAAAACAGGAACCACCTTTGGTGGGACGGTAACAGCGTTCCATGCGCCTTTGGCATTGAGTCATGCCGGTCACATGACCACAGAGACGTCTTCAGACAGCGCTGGCTCTTCAGCTTTGAAACAGAGATGAGCACCGCCCCCTAGAGTCAGGAACAACTAGCACATATGTGCAAGGGGAACCTTTACCTTACTGAAACTTAATTTGGATAATTTTTTTTCTTTTTAAGGAAGATTCTTGGGATTTCTTATTTAGGGCTCTGCGTTGTGGTTTTATATCTCTTGTTTTTATAGCACTTGGTATGTACCAGTATTTCCAGATGTACTTTAGGTGACGATGTTCTTGTATTTTCACTTTCCTCAATCTGTTTGCAGGCTTTTCATCAATGACATGAAACCTTAAAAACTGAAGACTGGGTTAATGAGAAGATGGGAGCAGCAAGCAGCAGCATTCATGACCTCCCGGAAAATGAATATTTAAAGAAACTGTCAGGACGAGAAGCCATCTCTGAGAATGACCCGTTTTGGAATCAGTTGCTTTCTTTTAGCTTTACTATCCCAACGAACAGGTAAGTGTTATACAAGTGTACATTCAACAATAATATTTAATAGTGAAAGCAGAACGCCTAGATTCTGTAATACTGTTGTGCCATAGAACAGGGGTCTTCGACCTTGGCAATTTTAAGACTTGTGGACTTCAATTCCCAGAGTTCCTCAGCCAACTTTGCTTTGCTGGCTGAGGAATTCTGGGACTTGAAGTCCACAAGTCTTAAAATTGCCAAGATTGGAGACCCCTGCCATAGAGTGTCATCCTTGTTAACTCTGAAGACTCTTTTTGACTTACAACCACAACTGAGCCCAAATTTTCTGTTGCTAAGCAAGACAACGTTAAGTTAGTCTTGCCCCATTTTACGACCCTTATGCCACAGTTGTTAAGTGAAGCACTGCAGTTGTGAAGTGGATCTTGCAATTGTTAAGCAAATCTGGCCTCCCCCCCCCCCCAATTGACTTTACTTGTCAGAAACAAGCTAACAGGATTAATACTGATACATGACCCCAGGACTGTACAAATGTCATAAGTACATGCCAGTTGCCAAGTGCCTAAATTTGGGTTACATGACCATGAATATGCTGCAATGGTCATAAGTGTGAAAACTGGTTGTAAGTCACTTTTTTCCATGCCAATGTAACTTCAAACGATCACTAAAAGAATAGTTGTAAATTGAGGATTATTCTGTAATGGAACTCTCAATTATTTAACTTGGAATCCATACCTTGAAACTCATCGTTAATTGCTCCCAGGAGGCACGAGGAGTACCAAAAATAATAAGTGCCAAACATGTTTTTCCCATAAGGAATTGTTCTGACCGAGGCTTCCCAAGAGACTGAAGCAAACTCCTTGTCCTGACAAAAAACTCCTTTATTAATTTACTGTGAATTCTACTCATTCGCATCCAGCAAAGTCTTTACAGTCACAGACCTTATCTGGCTTGGAGAGCTGCCAGGCCGATATCTGCAAAACTTGGCAAGGAGTCTCAGAGAGTCACGAACTAATTAAGTGAACTAATTGTCTCTTGCAAACTCCACTCCCCTTTCGCTCCTCTTTTATTTCCTCTGGGAGGGGCCATTCATCGTCCACCTGTGGCCTTACTCCCAGATCAACCCCTGTTCTTTAGCTGTTTCCTTTATCTGGCAACTCTGCACATGCGCACACTGGGAACAGTCTCCAGCTGTTTGTCTGCCTCACTGATGT